CCTACAAACCTGCCAAAGAACATGGAAATGTTTTTGGTGGCTTGGCACTTAAGAAAATTAGACTTCTAGATGCTTTGAAGCAAATGTCCCAAACTGCTGCTTTTGGAAACCTAGGTCTTTAGACATGCATAAGATATTGCCTTCCTTAGTGCCTGTGTTCAATGTGGGGTTTGCACAATAGTGAAGCAAATCAATTTTCTGGGAACACAGAGCAATTTTTGAATGGGGAGTGGAAGCTGGATGGGGAGAGGAACTGGCATTCTGGAGATTTCAGTGGTTTCCCTGCTCTGCAGTACATGTAAATGGCATTATGCCCATAGATTATACTAATGCATTGAAACCACAACATGAGCATTTCTGGTCTTGGCTCAGAGAGTTTCTCACTATTTATACTGACAGTCTCATATGTGACCACCTGGCCAAGTGTCTGGACTTCCAGCAGTGTTAACCTGATGGTTATGACTCAGAGTTAAATGTTTACAGAATGCACACAAAAACCATGTTCAAGAGTACTGTCTGCCTCCAAATTTAAAGGCTGTGTCTTGTATCCCCACCTATTTTTTTACCAGTCCTGTCTGTTTTGTCTTTCTTCCAAACTCCTTCATGCTCCTGTATCTGCTTTGCCATGATGACTTTGGGAAACACGTTGGCAGGACTTCATTACTCTGTGCCTTCCTGTCATTATGGAAATCAACCGTCTACATATGGGGTGATGGCAGGTAAGATACATACCCTCAGCTGGGTGAGATATTAGCATGTTGATCTTGGGTAGTTTTCCTTTAGAAGGGCTGATTCGAAAAAGTGGCTTAAAGAGGACAGGAATGAGGTTAAGGCACTAAACAATGAGTTTGGAAAATAGGCACCAAGGCCCAGTATTTCCCCAAACATCTCCGTCTCTCAGGATGTCACTCTATCTTATTTCTCTAGGACTGGGACAGTGCTGCTCTTTTTTTCTCACCTATGCCTGCCTTCCCTGGTAATCATCATTTTTTGAAGAAGGAGGAGTAATACACCCAGTATACCTGTGTACTACCAGTACCTGGGATGATGCAGCCCTGACTAGAGCTATAAATAAAATGGAGGCATAATGGAAGGATAGCTGAAGTCAGCAGGCAGATCATATATGTGATTGTGGATTTTTACCCTCATTAATGTATGCTAGCAGCTCAATTTTCCATGTCCCAGGCTGAGTAAGAAAGAAGATTGGTTATTCCGTGCAAGTTCAAGTAGCAGTCAATGAGGTAATGCCATGAACCAAATTAACACAACTCCCAGGAGATAATCGTGAGCCAGAGCTAATCCAAAATCAAACTCAGAATTTTATTTCACTTAAGAATTAAGGAAATAGTAGAGTAAATTGGCATTAATATACTTGCACAGGGACTTGTTAGGGACAGAGAGTAGACTCTTTTCACAGTATTTTGAATCCTTGGAGGTATGAAAAAAACATGTAGATGTGGCAATTCAGGGCGCTTGAATCCTTGGAGGTATTAAAAAAACATGTAGATGTGGCAATTCAGGGCGTGCTCTACTGGCTGAGGTTGTGGGTTTTTATTTTGTGAGTGTTTTCGGTGGAGTGTGTGTGGTTCTTAGTGTTTGGGATTTTTTTTTGTGTTGATGGTTGGACTCAGTGATCTTAGAGGTTCTTTTCCAACCATGACAATTCTGTGATTCAAATGCCTAAATGCTCCTATTTCATTATTCATTTATGTGTCTGTTGCAAACATGCCTGACATTGCACAGATCCCTGGGAAAAGTTAATGGGTATCAAACAAAAAGTATTGCTCAAAAGCTAGTTGTGGTTCATTCCAAAGTAATTCCATCTTCATTTTTCTCCTTTCTTCTTTTAACCTTTACTTTTTTTCTAGGCATCAAGCCTGCAACTCCAGAGATGCTATCAGCAAGTCTCTCCCAGAGTCGCATCTTGCAGACATGCAGCATGCCACATCCCAATGTGGTAAATGGTGTCAGCACCTTGCAAAGCAAGTCATTCTCTCTTTTAGTCTCTTCCTTTAATCTTAGAAAAAGTTTGCTTGTTTTTGTTCTGGTTATTTGGATGTTATGCTTGTTTGTTTTTGTTTTGATATTTTTGTTTGGTTGGGTTTGTTTTTTTTTGGGGGGGGTTCTGTTTTTTGTTTGTTTGTTTTGTGGGTTTTTTGGGGGGGTTGGTTTGGTTTGATTTGAGTTTTTTTGTGGTTACCCTGGTGTCAAAACCTCCAATGCTGGTGAGAGCAATCAGAGCAGTGAAGACAAGAAAAGTAAATGGAGGAAGGGTGGGAGGTTAATGAAATTCTGTGTTCTGCTACAAGGTTTTATTTCATTTAGAAAACTGAAAAGGATGTCCTGAGAACCTGGAACTTACTGGCTTCTTCAGATACACTAAGGAGTGTTAATATATCTCCAATTATTTTTTCTTTCCCCTTCAGGCCAGAGACTCTTTAGCTCTATATATCTAGTGAAAAAGTAGCCTTCACACTTAGCTGAATCTGCTTGTTAAGTCTGGTATTTGTGAACAAAAGTTATCATGACATAGTTTTTCTGGGGGGTTGAGCAATTTCTTTTTAAGACAAAAGATCATTCTGAATATGTTTGGCTTAAGTTTTATTCTTTGAACTCTTTCCTGTGTACATTCCTCAAACAAATTTTATGCCAGAGCTAAACCAAGGTAGTATCTGGGCATCAAATTGTATTTACATGTAAACTTTCACTGTACCAGAAAGTAGAGACTGACACATTTTAGGTGACTCAAAACTACACAGATCCATCAGTCTCATGGTGCCACTTAATTCCAGCTGAGGTCCTGGATTGTTGTCCATCTTATTTAAGTGCATTGCAGTTTGCTATGAAAAAGGATGGCTGGGAAAAATACTTGTTTTCATGTATGAGGACAGGAGAGAGACTATCTCATAGGGTATCCTCACTCTCAGATACTGTTACTTGTGTTACATAATAAATATTACACACGTCAATTATGAGACGACGAAGGCATGTTTTCATTTGGTAGCATCAGAGAATAACTGTACTAAGGAGATTTTTTGGTGTTGCTCAGGTAGCCTGACCCCTTGCCTTTACAAATTCCCGGAGCATGCCCTGAGTGCCAGCTCCTGTGCCCTGGGCCACGGCTTCACACCCATGCACCAGTCCCTCCTCGCAGATGATCCCACCACTGCAGACTTCAAGCAGGAATTCCGCAGAAAAAGCAAGTCTGTTGAAGAGCCCGTCGACATGGACTCCCCTGAAATCAGGGAACTGGAGAAATTTGCTAATGAATTCAAGCTGCGGAGAATAAAGCTGGGTATGTGTTTTGTGTCCACAAACAAAAAGTTGAAAATTTCCAATGGAAGTCCAATTATTTCTGAATGTTTTATGCTCTAGTCTCTGTAGTTGTCTAATCATAACAGTTTTGCAGTGCCAGACTTTCTCCACTCCTAGAAGATCTGCACAGAATTAATGACCTTCAGCTTTTTGCAGCTTAGAACTCAGAAAGTGTCTTTGAAGTTTCCTGCCCTTAAATTATTTGTCTTAAGTGTAGTGAAAATTATTGCTGTTCATTAAATTACTCTCAAGTAGCATGTACCTTATTTTGCACAGCTCCAAATTTTCTGCAACTGAAAAAATGAGAGCACATGCTCTCACCTCTTACATCCATTGTCTTCCCCATGAAGTGCTCCATCTCACAGGAGGGTGCAATGTCATTTTTAGTATACAAAACAGGTGACATTCATGGGGAAACTTTCATATAAGTGGGAAGCTTCTCTTACTGATCTATTTTCATGTGCCAAGACACAGGTACAGCAGCAGCGAGTATGCTTATTGCTGCCTGATAACTACTGAGGCTGATGCGAGATGGATTACATCAGAGGGTCTTTGGTGATCTGCTTTGCTTTCACTGGGCCATCTTAGCCATGGGAAAAGGTGAATTGAGCTCTGTCTTTCTCATCAGTAGAGAATTCCTTCTTTCTGCAGAAGGACTGAGGTACATTGTAAAGTAAAAGCCTATCTCCTTGTTTGAACTGTACGAAAAAAACCACATTTGTTGCTGCAGCTTCATACTGTTTATGAACATTTCGTACACAAAATCAAGAGTTGCAACATTTATATTATCACTTACAATATTACGTTGTGTCTTGCAAAATAAGGCATCCAACAAAAATCCAGATTGATATATGTAAACAAATTATAGTTATTACAGGTATCTACACATTATTTCAACAGCCAGCAAGCTAGTGTGTACCATTTATGGTAAAATAATTGCACCTGACACAAAAATTTAGGGTTTAAAATAGTATTTCCAACTTAGTCAGTTTTGCTGTATGTGATGCATTTAATGTTGGCCACGACAACGAGAAAGTTTTTTAGGCGTCAAGCTATTAATGTCTGTAATTATTACTGCATCTTCATCCTGAATCTGTGAGGGAACAAAACTTCTTCTAATGCAAACAAATGGCACAGAGCCCATCAGACTGGGCTTAATGCTCTGATGGGAAACACACAGTTTGCACAGGAAAACTAATCTGAGGTTGAGCTTTACAAGGGAAGAAAAAATGAATATGGGGCTGTGGGTCTGAGGCTGAGGGTCACAGAGTTAGTGCAGTCAAAATGGAGGTTAAAAGCTGCCTCCTAAGATATTCCAAATCTATAGAGATGGTGCCCATTCTGGCACAGAAGCAGAAAGGGTAGGTGAGCCAGACCCCTGAATGTGGCAGATACACATTCACAGCACCTAACAGGGAGCTGCTGTTACAAAGCCATTGTCTGCACAGCAACTGCAACTTCAGATTTGTTGTCACAAAAAATAACAGGAGATCAGCGGTGCCACCAGGGGTCAGTTTATTACTGTTGCTCCTTTTATAGAAAGAAGGAAAGATATGGGTCAGTATCCTTCTCAAATCCCTAATCTTGGAGTGTAAAACTACACTAGATTATTTTATGATCCCTCTGAAACCAACAGGAGACTCAACACATCTCCAAGGTGAGCTTGAGACCTCTGCAGAAAGCCCATCCTGAAGACATGGAAGCACATACCATTTGTAAGAGTCAGCAGTGAAGGGTTAAGTCCCAAGGAAAGTAATGCTTTCTAGAAAACTCTGAAGTGACTTTTTTCTCTTTGTTTTTGACAGGTTATACACAAACTAATGTTGGAGAAGCACTGGCTGCTGTGCATGGCTCTGAATTCAGTCAAACTACTATTTGTCGGTTTGAAAACTTGCAGCTGAGCTTCAAGAATGCATGCAAGCTGAAATCAATACTGTCCAAGTGGCTGGAGGAAGCAGAACAAGTAGGAGGTAGCAAATTAAAATCCTTTTAATATTGATTTGCATTTAAACCAAAATCCTCTATTTACGTTGAAAGACTAGTACGTGCCTTCCATATACTAAGGTTTTGTTTTACCAGCTTCAAATACCAAGGTGTGCTTATATTGAATTGTGGTTGTCTTTTTTGGGCGAGCAAGGAGGGTACAGAATAGCAGAATCATCACTTACTGGATATAATGTGTCAAACACACTTACTGGAATTATCTTTCAGCCCCACTCTAGCATACTAGCTCCACTCCTGTAGCCTAGGTCAGAGTTGTTATTAGCATCTGCAGGGCAGCCCATCTAGCAGCTTATAGAGACTCTTCTCTAACAAAGGATTCTTCCATCCAGCTTCTGGTGTAAGAGATGTGGCCATAGGTGAAAGCATTTGAGTTCAGTTATGACAGAGGCCTTTAAATCCTGAAGAAGAATAACATGGTATAGAGGTTTTTGATGCAGCTTCTTTGGCTGCAAAGGGGTTTTCATCCTTTTTCCCAGTTACTTTCCAGTTGCAAGAAGAGGCACGGTGTTCACTGGGCAAAGGTACTTTTGAACAGGCTGGTTGGTTTGCAGGAAATGGGTTATTTAAAGAATAGCCTTTTTCAGCTAGATGAATTGTGAATGCTAGGAAGCAATATGCCTGGAGGTGACAGAGAAAGCAAGGACTACCACTGTTTAATACCCACCTTACATGGGAAGAAAGGTGATGATCTTAATGCTACATTTTGGATTTGCCATTGTATTCAACAATAGGAAATGCTGTTAAGTAGCTGCCTCTGCCACACACTTCAGTGTCCTTTGAGCCAAATGTAGAAAGCTTCCTTCTCTTGTAACTGCACTAGAACCCAGAGACTCTCCTAATGTGGCCAGCATGTCACAAGAATTGCTTGCAACGGGCTTGGCGTGGGTAGCAGCTGGTGACTGCGTGAGCAGCATGGAACTGCAGGGTAAGATCACAGGGGCAGGCAGTGGCCTCTGAGAAGTAAGGCAAGATAAGTCCATCAGAAAGTGGAGTGAAAGAGTCAGATGAAAACCAGGGTTGGGAGCCACGGCTGGAGAAAGAGGGTGAGCCAAGGGGTATGGAAATAGGCTCCATCTCCTTCAACTGTACCCTGCAGGGTATGTAAAAGTAGAGGGCTGAAGTACAACTCCGCAAGTACATAGAGCACAGAGCCAACTCTGCAGCTTTGCTGGTGGCACATCACTGTTGCTTATAGCTATTTGTAGCTGGAGGTAAAACAATGACTAACCACCTTAAAGAAAAATGATTATATGTGTGGTGCTGCTTTTATTCAGTGGCATTATCTGACAGCTTTCTACTGTCTTCAAAGAAAGGGAATTTTTTTCTAGGGATAACTGTGCTTGTTTTCCATCCCCTGTGGAAGGTAACTTGTTTTGCTTCTAATGCAGCTTTATACAATGAAAAAGTTGGAGTGAACGAGCGGAAGAGGAAGCGCCGAACCACCATAAGGTAATAAATATTTAGGTTGTTACATATTATCCCTAAGCTAAGATGCTTTTCTTGGGGTTGAAATCAAAGCATTGTTTGCTATTAAAAACAACTATAACTGTTCTTTATAGCTAGTGTTTCAAAATGTTTTACGAGTTTGAAACATTCCAGTGAAAAATAACAGCATAGCCCTCCAAACCCCCAATTTGCTCCAAATATACTGTTTCCCAAATAAAATTTTCTTTTCAACATACAACTTACTTCAATATGAAGAAAAAAATATATATACCAATTCTACCTAAATGATATTATAGAATGGTTAAGGCTGGAAGGGACCTTAAAGATCATCAGGTTCCAACCTCCCTGTTATGAGCAGGGACATCTTACACTAGACCAGGCTGCAAAAAGCCTCATCCAGCCTGGCCCTAAACATCTCCAGGGAGGGGACATCAACAACCTCCCTGGGCAACCCATTTTAGTTTTTCACCACCCTTACAGTGAAGATTTTCTTCCTAATATCTAGCCTAAATCTCCCCTCTCTCAGTTTAAAACCATTATCCCTTGTCCTATCACTGCCCTCTCTGTTCAAAAGCCCCTCCTCAGCTTTCCTGTAGGCCCCCTTCAAGCTTCTCACCTACTACCGTCCCCAAGTCCTTCTCCTCAGGACTGCTCTCCAGCCATTCTCCTCCCAGCCTGTATTTGTGCCTGCGGTTGCATGGACCCAGGTGCAGGACTCTGCACTTGGCCTTATTGAACTTCATGAGGTTGGCATTGGCCCACCTCTCCAGCCTGTCAGGGCTGGATATCTATACAGTGAATAAAGTATCAAAGCATCCTTTTAAAAATGTATTAATTTAATTTTTTTAGGTTTGGTTTTGTTGGTGGTTGGTGGTTGTTTTTTTTTCCTTTTTTGGGGAGGTTCTACCTTATACCAAATTAAGCTGAATTATTTTGCCAGAGAACTGATGTCTGAGAAAGTTGGGAGCAAGCTATTAGTTATAATATTGGATCCCTATCTTCTGTCATTACATTATTTGGAATTCCCAAAGAAGCACTTTAATGAGACACATGGTAAAAAAAGGATGTTGTTCTGGGAAACCTCCTTCTGCTTCTCACATCTTTGGTGGCCAACAACAACCATCTATCTTGCCTCGACTCTATATAGAAATCAAGTAGGCTGGTAAATCATATTACCAAAAAAAATACCAAATAAGTAAAATGAGAACATGGGAGAATGAGAATTATTTCTGGTTTAGATATCCCAGATTCTTACAATCTTTGGTGAGGAATTCACTCAGAAGGCCTCCTAAGAGCTGTAGCATTCTTTCACAGGAAGGGAATTTGGCTGTCTCTAGGCACAACTCTGGTGCTGCGAGGCCCTAGTTGTTACAGGGAACTGCTTATTCTTTGAACAGGGGTCATTCCCAATGTACTGTGTCACTTCCCAGACACATGGGCTGTTCTGTTGTCCTGCAGCCTCCAAGCCCCACAACCACAACACAGCCCTTTCCCTTTAACATTTAACTTGAGATTATTTTTTTTTTTAGTCATATTGCCTGTGGTACAAGGAAAATGAGTATGTGATTTCTCTCAGAGTTTTAAAGTAAATACTCCTCCTATGGGATGCTCTCCAGTTAGGGTTGAGTTGGGGATGGGAGATGCTTTATAGCTCATCTGCTCATCACAGCACCTCACAGGGAATGAAGCTTTACTCTTGGGAGGCCAGTTTCTCCTCTCATCTTCTTTCCAAGCCAGTAAGGACTTGAGTGGCAGAGTCAAGACCTTGCCCAATCTGTGCAGTATGGCCTGAATGAGAGCTGTGAGTTGAGAGCATCTCTATCCTAGGTGTTTTCTCCTGGCGAGAGAAGCCCACTGAAGACTGCTCATCTAACAATGTGGGGTTTGGTGGTGTTTTTTAACTGCCATAGAGGAAATTGGTCCTTATATTAAGCATTTTTAAATTATTCCTGCTTTTACATCTAACTCCACTGCACTGGGAGTATCAAATACAGCAGGTTGTCAAGTGCACAGATAATTGAGGGGAAGTTCAGGACCTAATCTGACATAGTAAGAAAATATTAACTGTTCCTTTGAAAGTATAGGACCTCGGTTTGAAGACATCAAACAGATAAAAGAGATGAACTTCAGCTTTACTCTTAGTAATTCTTAACAAATGTTTGAAGGTAAACTAGACATAAAATAAAAAGTCCCACTAACTAAATTAGGTTAGGCATACCCTGAGCAAAAACTAAATCATTTGAATTTTCAGAAGCTATTTTCATCAGAAAGCCTAAGAAACTGTTAGTCAAAACCAGTGATGTTTCTATACCTCTGTGTCTGCACAACACCATGCTACTAATTAGGTAGTTCTGGTAATGTTACTAAATATTGCAAAATAGACCTATAAATGAAAGACCAACAACATGTTATAGATGAAGTAATGAATCTAACCAGAACTCCAGCAGATATTTTGTATTTTTCTGTAACAGAAATCCTGCTCCTAATTTCCAGAATAATGCACAAAGTGCCCTCTTGTGTCCAAAGACATTACAGCTACTGCTGAAGCCACTTTTGGATGCGCCCTGGAGGCACAAAAGCATGTAACATACACTCTTCGTTTGATGAGAATATGTAATGTGAACAGGAAGCAAATTCTATCTGGCAATAATTCTTAAATTATTTCGTTTATTGAACCACTGCTGCCTGTGAGGAACAGGCTAAAGCAGACTTCTAGAAAATGTGAGGATTGCTAAAACATCTTTCTGTAATCTGTCATTTCTAGAAATACTCTAGTGCTCTCTTTATAACAAAATGAGGTGCAGAACTTGAGACAACATACAATATTTCTGAAATTGTAAGTGAAGGAGCTCTTCCTCTTTGTAAACCCAAATGATTTGATACAACCAGATAACTCCAGTAAAGTTCATTTGCTGAACTCCCATGACATTCCTGTGACTGGGGCAGAATGGGTGGTCAGGCTTGCTCCAGTTCCCGAGATCCCATTCATGTACAGCTAACAGCTGTATCTCCTAGAGAACACCAAGAAGCACATACATTTAATGATTACCACTGAAATGCCACCAAACTTAACACTAGTTTTGCCTTTAAATGATTCTGTGCTGAAATTCTGTGTGATGTGATGCTGTCCATGTCAGCAAATAGCTACAGTGTACTTCAAGCTCTGTGGGCTTCCTTTGCATATATTAAAAAAAAAAAAAAAAAAGGAAAAAAGAAACAAAAAAAAAAACCAACAAGTCACTACCTTCAGTGCTCTTATTTGACTCTTCCAAATTAGAGGTGAAAGCCTGAACATGTCTGAAAAAAAAAAAAAAAGGAAAAAAGAAACAACAAAAAAACAACAACAAGTCACTACCTTCAGTGCTCTTATTTGACTCTTCCAAATTAGAGGTGAAAGCCTGAACATGTCTGAAAAGTTTTTAAAGGTGACATTTTATCTCTTTATCCAGTATTGCTGCCAAAGAAGCCCTGGAGAGGCACTTTGGAGAACAAAGCAAGCCTTCTTCTCAGGAGATTATGAGAATGGCTGAGGGGCTCAATCTTGAGAAAGAAGTTGTGAGAGTTTGGTTTTGCAACAGAAGACAAAGGGAAAAAAGAGTGAAGACAAGTTTACATCAGAACACCTTCAGTTCTATTATTAAGGAGCATCACGAATGCCGGTAAAGCTTTTCCAGATGCAGATGTGAATTCTGTTTTGCTTTTTGTAAATATTGTCAATACTACAGTGTTTAAAAAAATAATCAGTATAACCACTTGTTTCTTTTCCAAGCTAGCCAGCTTCAGATGTAGTGTGTTGTTGAAAGACCTGATTTTAATGTACAAGATTGGAAACAAATTAAATGCTACCGCACATATTTAAAGAATTGGAAGTCTCTGCTTAACTGCAAGGAACCTATCATGCATTACTCAACTAGAAATTCTTTCCAAGTTGTTCCCTGTGCTGTGCCTTTCTTGTATCTGTGATACATGTAACGAGTAATGGAAGTCCCCATGTAGGTACCCTAAATATCAGGAAACAAAGTTTTTGTGCTGTATGTAAAGAAAGGTTACAAAGCTTGACATCAATAGGTATAATACTGGAAGTATTTTGCCTCTGTACGTCCATGCATGTGCTCTACCACCCCACACTAACTAGCTAACTGTGCTAACCTTGGCAAGATTGTAAGCCTCAGGTAAGCAGAAGGGTCCCATCTCCAGCTGTGACCACTGAGCATCAGTGAGAAGAGCTTCAAAGAAGAGAAAGTGAATAAGCAACCTTAAACAAGCAGTGGCGACACTGTAGAATATTTAAGTAAAGGCCAAAGACAGGATATATCCATGGGATGATCTGAGAACCAGGTAGAGGAATGCTAGCTGAAGACCCGTCTTTCCAAAGAACAGCTCAAACTCAGCTACCTGCTCACACAAGCTGTACACCTCTGAGGGAATAATTTTGGTTAAATTCCTTGTGTAAGTTCAGGACAAAGCCATTAGAAATGTGCCGTAATTGCTGCCTTTATTTACAGTAGAGTAAGCTTACCAGTATGGAGCTGTGGACACTGTTGCTACTGTGTGCTCTGTCTCAGAGTACCATTTTACTGCCTTAAATGAGTGCCAAGTAGAAGTGACTTTTTCTAATGCTTGTTATCAAATGTAATTCTTGCTAATTTATTATATGCTGTAAAGTTTTATTTTGATAGGCTTAGCTATAAAAATTAGGATACAAGTAACCTTACCTTAAGACTTTGTGACCTGAAGGGGAAAAAAATTGATAATTATCAAGTGGTTTATTACTTCAGGCTTTCTCTGCATTGTATCTTTTTCTGATTAAATCCTTGTATGGACATATACCATAGGCAGTGTGTTAGGCTGAAAAAGAGAAGGCCCTTGTACTCTGAAATAAGTAAATACACAAAGCATTCATTGCACTGTACATTCCCACCCTCTTACACCCCAGTAACTGAAAATAATCCCTTATTTGTCATCCTCTAGCCTAGAGAGATAATCAGGGTGGGAGGGGGGAGAATAAACAGTGCCAGAACTCCACCTATCAGAAAACCAGGCACTGAGAAACTGGATTAATGACTGTAGTACTCACTTGGGATAGATTATCCAGCCATCTCATCAGCCCTGCTCATTGTTATTAAAATAGCCCATTACCATATATGTGTTTGTGACTGTTTTCCCAGGACTGAAATTGAACACATGAAAGTACTAATGGCGAGATATGTTTTATCTTTCCATAAAATAGACCTGATGATTTAGAAAATGTCTAGATAATAGGCCCACAGAAAGCAAAAGGCATTTAATGTTCAAGACCACTTAGAAGCAATGTGTACAAGTTAAGAGCTGTCTCTCTAATGTACATTAAATTATCTCTAATACCTATGGCAGTGACCGTAGGCATATTCAACTACAGAAATTAGGCTCCTGGATTAAAAAAAAACAACCCTGTATTTTAATGGATGAATGCATTGCTATATCCCCTTAATTGAGAAGAAAATGTCAATTTAATAACTCAAGGGGGAGAAATTGTGCTAGGTACTCTCTTCAGGTTGTCTCATCACAAGCATAGCTCACCCACTACAGCAGAGAAAGACCAAGCCTTAGCCTTTATCCACCACACATATATTGACAGATCATGAACTTTCCAAAAGGATGAAAGACATATACAGTTCAGATTATTAGCACTCAGCAAGGTGACATGCATTTGTATACCTCTGATGTTATGTGATCTAATGTTATGTATGTTGAAACTATACGCTACATATTTTTTAATTTATATTCTAAGTTATTTTTATTTTTAAAAGGCTTCCAAAAATGCTAAAAGCCTGTACTTCCCCCCTCCCAATAAAGTATTCTCACACATTTGGCATTTCAGGTAATGGTTTGTAGTTCTCTTTTGTTAATACTTTACTATTTTAGTCACATGTCAATGTCTTTTCTCATTTTACCATGTGGTAACTGCTAATTCAAGAGCAGATTTACCATAACGTTGTGATTTCTAGTCTTACAAAACGTCTCACAGGTGAAGGCTAATTTCAGAAGCATAGCAAAACAAAATGAAAGGTGACACATAATGCTATTTTCTTGCAAAACAATGACGAAAGGCTAAGTAGAAGAAGCACATACCATTTAAGCACATCTAGCTGTTGCCACAGAAGCACAAATTACAGCAGACTTGTTTAAAGAAAAAAAGCTGGATGAAATCAAGTACATGTGCTGCAGCTACAGCTATCAGACATGGAGAAAGTGGAAATTCCATAGAAACAACTTCTGGGTAATTGCCATCAATCCTTCTTTATTGGGGAAAACCCCCTAGATAAACCTCCTGAGGGACAGTTTTATAAACCTGCAAGTTAAAGAGTTTAGTTGGCCATTTGATTCATGGGCTACACTCGTTTCCTTTGAGATGTTTGTTGTTTTTTTTTTCTCTTATTACTTTTCCCATTGTAACTTTAGGCAGTGTTAAAACTAGAATACAAAAAGTCCCCACCCAACAACAACAAAACAAGACAATATGACAAATCTGTGGTTCACCTCTCTCTTAAATAGCGTGTAGCATTCTCTCCTGGTCATCTGAAAGATGTAACAGAGAAAAAGCTCCTATACAGGCAAGGCTGATGATTGAAGGTAAGATGACTGTTTAAGCTACCATCCGTCTTCTATATTAACGTGTGTATTGTATGCTGTAGACGCCTACTGAATTATGAGCTGGACCTGCTGGGAAGCAGTTGTGAGGAAAAGGATCTTGGAGTCCTGGCAGATAGAAAATGATCCATGACCCTGCAATGTGCCCTTATTGCCAAGGTCAATGGAATCCTGGGTTGCATAAGGATGTGTGTGGCCAGTAGGTCAAGAGAGGTCATTCTCTCCCTCTACTCTGCCCTGGTGAGACCACAGCTAGAATCCTGTGTCCAGTTCTGGGCTCCCCAGTTCGAGACAGGCCAGTGGAGGGCAATAAAGATGATTGGGGAATTGAAGCATCTCTCTTACAAGGAAAGAGAAAGGGTGAGAGCTGTGACTTTTTAGCCTGGAGAAGAGAAGGCTGAGGGGAGACCTTATTAATGCCTGTAAGTATCTAAAAGGTGCAAGAAGGATGGAGCCAGACTCTTTTCAGTAGCTTGCAGTGACAGGATGAGGGGCAACCAAACACTGGAAGTTGGATTTAGATATGAGGAAAAACTTAATTACAGTGAGGGTGACAGGGTACTGGAACAGGCTGTCTAGGGGGGTTGTGGAGTCCCCTTCTCTGGAGATATTCAAGACCTGCCTGAATCCAGTCTTGTGTGATGTGCTCTGGGCAATCCTGCTTCAGCAGAGGAGTTAGACTAGATGATCTGTAGAGGTCCTCTCCAACTCTAACAACTCCATGATTCCGTGAAAGGCTGGATGTAGGCATGCTGTTCACTGTCTTGCCTAATGTAAGAACTAGGAGTAAACATGTGAAGCTAGAAAGAAGCTTAAGAAAAAAAAGTGGTGGCTCTTAATGTGGTGCTTTATAGCTCAACAGAGCTAACAGGAGTCCAAAGAAAGCTCACTAATAGACAGATGTGCAGTTCTAACCCTACAGAGGACAAGGTCATTGCAGAATATAAAACCTTTTATTAGATTTTTACAAAATAACTTGTAAAAAAAAAATCACCTCGTATCATATATATATGCAATATATTAACTTTCACATTCCTAGCCACCACCTCACAGATTCATCATTTGTCCATTACTTCCTTCAAAGAGAAAGAACACCTGCATTTCTATGCCAAAAATCAGATGAAGGCTCACCAATGTCTTTTATTTCTCGCTGACTTCAATCCTAAAAAACAGATGGTGTGACAACAGTAGATTCACGGTGGTTACAGTTTCCTGCTACACTTTCTCTAGCAGCAAAGTCTCCTTGTAAAGTTTATCGTTCCCCCAGGTTATCCTGGTTTCACTCTTGGGAGGGACTTTGCTTTTCTTCAAGTCAAGATTATTTTGTTGTTTCTGTTCAACCAACAGCCACACTTAATCAGCACAACTGAGGGGCAAATTATCTCCAATAGAGTAAGGGCTGAGGAATTTCACACCATCTGGGAAGTCATAATTGGGAATGGCATTCTCAGACTTCAACATCTATTTAAGATATCAACAGTTCTTATTAGCCCAATGCATTCCACTTAAAGCTAGAATCCTGCTGATGCAGTTCTGAGACCATAGAAAATCCTTCACAGAACACTTTTATTATAGTGCTTAGACAAGTAATGATCAGGTATCATCCAAAGTTCTTGTCAAAACTAAAATTTAGATTTAGGCTATCAATGTGATCAATTGCATCTTAGTAAACAATACAATTATGCACAGTTATCTTTCATTACGAAATACTGTAAAATATATACAAATGTTTTTTCAGGCAAATGTCCTTTTTGAAAGTGTGCAAGTTGCATTTCTGAACAAGTGCATTTCTGAGCTTCAGCACTGAGTCTGATCAAGTGCACATGGAGGTCTCACCATAGTGTTTTGTGGAAGCATCTTAATTACAAGTTTACTCTCTTTCAAAGACTCATTTTGAAAAAAAAAACCAACAAAAAACCACAAAGATACAAGATTTATATACACAAAGGCACAGAAATTCTCTTGAAACCAGCTATATTACAGTACAATACAGTTCAATCAGTGCCTTTCATGCAACAAAGTTCACTAACAAATTTAAATCCTCTTCCAGTAAAATTAACTGCACAAGGACTGTATCTTTCCCTTCTGTTAAAAAGAATAACCAGCTATTATTTAATCAACTCAAAGTTACTACAGAAAGCCATTAAATGCTTTTTCTTTCTGCCTATATTTGCTACGCTTTCAAGTCTATTCCTCAGTAAAAGAAAAGTTTCCAACTAAAAGTAAAGGGAAGTTCCATTTGTGCTAAAATGATAGACTAAGAATTTTCCTATAGCAATAGTTTTATAAAAATGATATATATTATATAGCTGTTCTCCTAGGAGGCATCACTACCAGCCACAGAACAGCCAATTCTAAAGATAGATGAGGAACTGAGATAGAAGAAAACTTTGAATTCAGGACATTCACACCAGGTGTAAAATAATTTATGGTTATAAATACATTCCTTGTTGGCCAAGTGCTCAAAAAGACTCCAGGCAACAGAGATAACAAGTGTATTCTTCCTGTAAATTGATTCAAAGTATTCTCCCCTTCTTCCCCCAGTACCAACTTCAAGCTGTCATTTCTGAAGCTTCAGAGTTTTCCTAGACATCAGTTGCATTGAAAGAGCATTTGCACTTTTTACATCTGTCTGCAGCTGAATAATTAGAAAGCAGACTGTATATTGCCATCAGGCTAATCAACTCCCAGAGCTTTGAGCTGTCGTTCAATCTCTTCATCTGATATGGTAGCAGCTTTTGATGTTGATGCAGATGGTAAGCCTCTGCCAGCTGATGGAGCTTTGGCCATCTAGAAGAAGATAAGGTTTTCTTAAATCAAAACAATACATGTTATGACAAGCTGACTTTAAGACTAAAACTATAAATTAAAAGCTGCTAGAATAAACTATTTTTACAAAAGGGAATTAGGGGGGAGAAGCACATGAACTGGGTAAAAATAGCCATACCTTCCCAGAGATTTCAATTCCTATCTCATCAAGCACTTGGTTAACAATATCTTGGCTTTCTTCCTCTTCATCAGAAGCATCAAAAATATCATCCAGAGTATCATTAACTTAAAAGAAAGAGAAAAAAAAATCCACACTGCATTGAGGAAACAGGTTACTAAAATAATCTAGTACCATCCTACCCTCCAAGAATGTGGTGGTAATACTAGTGTATGAGCTAACAGCAGAAAGCAGCTGTATATTGGAGAGGCTTTCTTATCTCTGTCTTGCAAAGCCTGTAAGCACAGACAGAATAACAGGGTAAGGACTGGCTGCTTTTATCAAATGTTTAGCTTCATCATAACAGTTCAGTTGTTCCACCTTTTAACTTTACTTTAAAACATCCTCTCTGATTCCATGAAAATCCTTTTCCTCTTCCTCCTCCAATTAAGTTGTGAAATTGCTAACTACTCAGCTAATTTCTGAATTGCAACAATACAGTTCTGTGCAGTTGAGGTGTTCGTATCTTGCTCAACAAAGTTTCAAGGTCATGATACTTACTATGGCCAACACAGGGGAAGGGATTAGGATATGAAGGAGACTGTGCCAGCAACGCCAGCAAGTTTGGTATTATTTAGCTGACAGTGGACAGATGCAATTGGGACCAAGAAACCTGTCACTCCTTTAGAAGTTTATGGCTTAAAATAAAAAAGGGAGACAAAACCATCACCATGTACATTAAGTTGATATTATCAATATTACCCAAATTAAGACTCCAGGTGGTCCCAGAAATAAAAGCACATGCAGAACTATCAGCTACAGAAAGGGCAATTTTTCAAGTTCTCTACCACTTATGTCAACAAGGTTTTGGAGTGGTCTCTAATACCTTCCCCTTCAAGCATGTTCTTTCTAGGAGTATGATGGGTGTTCTGCATGAAGATGGGGAAGAATTCTAGATTTACTATCTAGAGCTACTAAAAAGTGCCAATGCTCTGCCTTGCATTGTTTTGTTTGCTCTTCAATTTTGCTGTCAATTTCATTGTGGGCTGCAGCTAGCTGTTCCTTGCAGTACAGAACTTACTCATTTCTTCAGTCATTTCCATCTTCATGTTTTCCTTCTGGAAATTTTGCATGGTTTGTAGTGTCTTTTGTGGATCCATTTTCTTATTCACTGCTTGCATTGTCTATTAATATTGAGGGAAAAAAATGAACAACCTTAATCACTCAATGAGGCACTAGTAAACATCAACATACACATTAAGAAAGAATAAGCCTTTTCTTAATAGAAAAACCTTCAGTCCAAATTTCACTTTCCTTGTCTCTTTACCTCTGGTGAGAACTGTAGATACACAATAGATGAATAGTACAGTCTGCACCCAGTAAAAAATATTACTATCTACTACTATAAAATATAGGTTTTTAAATGCATGTGTCTATCTTGCACTACAACCATCTCCTGGAGAAAAATATTGCCGGAAAAAATCTATTAGGAAAAACTGTCTAATCTAGATGAAAGAATGGGACAGTAAGTCCTAACTTGCAGGCTATACACTTTAAAGAGGTAAAAGGCTGCAGGTTTTTTATTCAATAAGGAACATTTACTTGAACCACCACTAGAGCCCAAGCATTAAATCACAATTGTTTCTTTATGTCATTATTTAATGGGAAAATTACATTTCTTTAAAAAGCAAATATCAAAGTGTTCAGGAAGTACAGTATTAGCTTAGGGTGAACCTCTGTAATGAGTAGAGATCTTTCTGTGACAGGGTAATAAACTTCAGCTGCTTTCTACAAGTATGCAGCACTGCCTTTGCAGGTAGCAGTATTTAATACCTTATTCTTTCCTAAGCAGCAAGCTACTGTATCTCTCATGGGACATCAGAGCCTAAATACAGACATGAGCAATTCAAACATAAATCTAACCATCTTTGGGAAGATTAAAACGTTTGTTAATTAAAAGGGATGCTACCAAGCATCTGTCTTGTTAAGGCAACTGATCCCATGCAGTTTTTACTTATGGTTGTATAGGATAAAGAATAGTATATACACTTCAAAATTAATGACTGCTTTCCTTTTTTAAGCTTCCCGTGTTGATAAGGCAAAATACTAAACTTTAAGGCAAAAAAAAAAAACTTTAAAGGTGATCAGAAGAAATTTAACACCTTTTCTTGAATAATATTACACAAATCAGTCCAGAAATAGCATGGCCAGCAGGACTGGGGAAGTGATTGTTCCCCTCTACTCAGCACTGGTGAGGCCCCATATTTTGAGTACTGTGTTGTTTTAGGCCCCTCACTATATAAATGACATCGAAGTCCTGGAGCATGTCTGGAGAAGGGTAACAAAACTGGTGAAGGGTCTGAAGCACAGAAGAAGGAGCAGCTGAGGGAACTGGGATAGTTTAACCTGGAAAAATGAGACTCAGGGAAGACCTTATCAGTCCCTACCACCCAAAAGAAGGCTGTAGCGAGATGGGAGCTGGTCTCTTCTCACAAGTAACAAGCAATAGGACAAGAAGAAATCGCCTCAAGTTGTGCCAGGAGAGGTTTAGATTGGTTATTAGGGAAAATTTATTCACCAAAATGTTGTCAGGTGATGGTACAGGCTGTCCAGGGAAGTGGTTGAGTCACCATCCCTGAAGGTATTTAAAAAGACATGTGAATATGCTGCTTAGGGACATGATTAACTGTGGACTGGGCAGTGCTGAGTTATTAGTTGGACTCAATTATCTTAAAGATCTTTTCCAACTTAAACAATTCTATGATTCTACAGAAGTACCTACTGTGTTTCAAAATACATTACTTTTCTGGATGCTGGTTATTTTTTTTTAAATTATTTTGATTTGCTACTGACTTGACCTTCATAATTAGTCTACTGACACTTTTTTTATTTTGAGAAATTTAATCCACGGCAACTCATAGATAAAAAGTCAACTGTGTTAAAACAAAACCAATGTGTTCACATACAACACTGTTGTAGGAATACTGAGTAAGCTGTTGAAGTTGACCAGCTGTACAGTCAGACAACCCACCCCTTTGTGGGTTAGTCATGGAGGACAGGAAATTTGCTACACTGCCACAACTTCGTATCAACAAACAGCTGGTACTTACCAACAGACTGTTTCTAAGACACCAGACAGCACAGCCTTCGCAGTAATTACTTTCTGCACTAAGTTGTGCTGCATTACTGTATTTAACTGGCATGTAACTGGATTTAACTTATAGCACAACTTGTCTACAATGACGTTTGCTAATTCTGTTTCCTACACCCAAGGCTGAACAACAGCAAACTCCCTGTTTATCAGTTCAGGGAAATAAGGGAGTTCAGAACTAACTCAGATAACTGAGATGATCTTTAAGGTTCCTCCGAACCCAAACAATTCTATTATTCTACGATTTCTCAAACTCTCTTATGAGATGAGATTTGTGAGAAAATTTCACACAATACTGTTTCCTTAGAGCATGGAGAGTGAGAATGACAGGGAATTCCAGATTATATTTCCTAAGGAACTTAAGATCAGAAGCAATAACTTACTTTTCGTCCAAGCCATAAAGCTACTGTGACACACTGCCTTGATTTCTTGATGGCACATGCCCTCATTTTTCCTAATAAAAACTGCTTGCAACAAGATATACAGGCAAGACACTATAGCAGTTTGGTTTGGGTTTTTCTGATACACTTTAAGAGTTCTTCCACTGGCTTTAAGAGTTTATTTTTATCTTGCACACCTTGAACAGATGTCTAGCCCAAAAAAACATGCTTAGTCAAGTGCTAACTTGCTGGAGTGATTTATAATATGAATCAAATCACATTTCCTTACTGTATCCTCAACATCACTTGGGGTATTAAGCAATAAGTTTTATCCCTTCAATTATCTTATACAAAATAACACAACTTTTGCAACTATATTCTGTATTTTAATGTAAAAGAATGCCTTATAATGTCTTACTTTTGCTGTAGTTGACATAGCTCCAGCCATCTTCATCTGAGAGTTCATGACCTTTGTTTGAGTTGACATGGAAGTGACTTTAGAACTAACAGCATATGTTCGATTTTTCTGCTTCCGCAGCTGTACAAGCTGTTTTGCTAGCACTTTACAGGCATCTTTGTTACCAGTCTTAGCCATTTTCTTTATTTCCAGTTCCTATTAAAAAAAGTATAAGATTATTTCTACAAAATTTTCATTCAAACGAAGACTATAATTAAGCCTTAATGCTAATAATTAAATTTCCAAAGTAAGCCTATTGATTATTTTTAAGACATTTAAAGTTATATAAAGTCTTCCTTGCTTTCTACCATGGCTATTTAGCAGAACAAATGCAATGCTGTCAGTGTTTGACCACAAGAAAAAAAAAACACAGCAAAACTGAATTATCATATGATAGCAGAGAATTCCCCAAAAGGCTTCAATTTCTGCATAACATCACATTCACTTACATTTGCACATTCAATTCCATATCTGGATAGGCAGTAACATGAAGGGAAAAAAAAAAGAAAAAAAAAAAAAAAAAAAAAAGAGTGAAGAAATTATTACAGCCAGGCAACTATTTGTGCCATTACTCTAATCATCTTTGATTTCTTACATTCATAGGCAATCAAGTGAAAGCACCCACAAAAGAAATGGTGAGTTTACAGTTTATTTTTAACAGTTTTTCAGCCTCAAGAGAATCTCATAACCTTTTTGGGGAAGAATTAGATAAAGTTAGATGAGCAAGTTATATGCTGTTTGCCCACAAACTTTAGCTAGACTTAAACTTAGCACATAATAAAAGCAATATAATTTGTCTACAACAACATGTGCTTATACTTTAATACATACACTTCTGGCTTACAAAAAAACCCAAACCCCAATCTATCGATTCAAGGAGAAAATACAACCTATTTAGCTCTGAAGTACCACAAAAACATTTGGAATAAAGAATCTTGTCATGTGAGATTTTTCAAACTGTGCCTTCTGATGCTGAGAGTTGTTGTCCGTGGCTCAATGTCCAAATGGAGGCAGGTGACGAGTGGTGTCCCGGAGGGGTCAGTATTTGGACCAGTGCTGTTTAACATCTTTGTTGGAGATATGGACAGTGGGATTGAGTGTATCCTCAGCAAGTTTGCTGATGATACCAAGCTGTGTGTCGTGGTTGACACCCCAGAGGGAAGGGATGTCATCCAGAGGGACCCTGACAGCCTGGAGAGGTGGGCCAATGCCAACCTCATGAAGTTCAACAAGGCCAAGTGCAGGGTCCTGCACCCGGGTCGGCACAACCCCAGGCACAAATACAGGCTGGGGGAGAATGGCTGGAGAGCAGTCCTGAGGAGAAGGACTTGAGGGTGGTAGTAGATGAGAAGCTCAACATGAGCCACCAGTGTGTGCTGGAGCCCAGAGAGCCAACTGCATCCTGGACTGCATCAAAAGAAGTGTGGCCAGCAGGGCCAGGGAGGTGATTCTGCCCCTCTACTCTGCTCTGCTGAGGTTGCACCTGGAGTACTGTGCACAGCTCTAGAGCCCTCAGCACAGGAAAGACATGAAGCTGTTGGAGAGGGTCCAGAGAAGGGCCAGAAAGATGATCAAAGGACTGGAGCACCTCTGCTGTGAAGACAGGGTAAGAAAATTAGGGCTGTTCAGCCTGTGTAAGAGAAGGCTCTGGGGAGATCTTATAGCGGGCTTCCAGTACTTGAAGGGGGCTACAGGAAAGCTGGGGAGGGGCTTTTCATCAGAGAAGATAGTGATAGAACAAGGGGTAATGGTTTTAAACTGAGAGAGGGGAGATTTAGGTTAGATATTGGGAAGAAATTCTTCACTATAAGGGTGGTGAAGAACTGGAATGGATTGCCCAGCCAAGTTGTTGTTGTTGTCTCTGCATGGTATTTTTACACAAACAATAAAAGTAGTTTTTTTCTGAGTAGTTACCTCATAGTTAAGAAGAAAAGAATTTCTGAAGAGAGCATGTAATAAAACATTGAGATTAACTGACAAGCCCTTAGTCCTTTTTCACCTCATCTGACTCTAAACATTAATATTTACTGTTCATTCATTATTTCATCCTAACAGCAAATTTTAACTTTTTCTCTTCCTTTCTTCTTTCTCCCCAGAAATCAAACATTTCTGAAACAATTTACTGTAGTAATTAAAACTTCAACCCAATTATTAACAAAAATGGAGGTTATTTTGAGAGTCAGAATATACTGAACAAGTGCCTTGTCTATGAGAAATGTATTATATCCTATGTGTTCAAGGCTTCCAGAAACCATTTCCATGACCTCTTGTAGTTTATTATTCCCAGCTCTGGGTACACATGTGCCCTGCTGCCATGAAACAACACTGCAGTAGCTACTGAAACAGTGGCTGGCTTTGCAGAGCTTTTCCCACAGTCTGAGCATGTCTTCATGCATCAAACCCCACCATCTGTTTCATCCGTTTATCCAATTATACTGCCACACAGGTGCAACATCCATTCATGGAATACTTGATAGCTCACACACATTAAGTTTTAAATAAATCTTAATTTAGGCAGATAGTTTTACTATTATTAGCTAGCTTTAGGGAAGTTTGAGATGAATGAAAACAAGAACCATACAGGGATATTCAAGATACTCTATGATTTTTTAAGTACCCTCTTCCACTGGAGAGTCATGGTAATGTATGATAGCACTGACACTACTTTCAGCAAGAGATCTTTTACAAGACCACCAATTTACAAGCCTGCTGGAAAAATCCTTCTGAAGAACGGAGAATGCTAAGAATGGAAGGGAAAAATGAATATAGGTATTTAATCTAAAAGTATCGTTTCAGACTTTTCCTATGTTAAAGACTGAGAATTACTTTTAAATAGAAAATTTTCTCCAAAACAATTTTAGTAACTGAAAAGTCGGTAAGGGGAAGACAACTTACTTAGTGTTTAATCATTATACATTGAGTTGTACCTTTAGCATTTTACAAGTTTTCTGTTACATTAGGCATGTGTGTTTGTTTTTAAAGAGTAAAATAAAGTCCCCTGCTCTACTTACCAGTTGTTTTTCCTGTTTTTCAAGTGCTGCTCTATCTCTGGTTATAGCCCTCTGTGTACCTCGTAGCTCTCTATTTTGCTCCTTTATTATATCTGGAAAGAAAATATAGATGGGAAAAATTTGCAATACTACATAAACATCTTATCTGCTAAGCACAGGGCAGACATGCAGTATATGTTTGACAGCCTCTCTTTTGCAGAACGAACTATCAGCTTGTCCTGGTTTGTAGCCAGGCCGAAGCCAATTTTCCTTTTACTGATTTTTTGTTGTTGTTTTGTCCAGTGAACTCTCTTTTAAGCATCCCACTTGCTGAAACTCACAGTGAGTTTTCCAGCTAGTGGATTGATAACATGCAGTGTTTATAGATACTGCCAAGAGACCAAGGACACTTTACTCTACTTGTCAGATTTGCTACACTAAAGGACCAGAAGAGTTGTATCTACAACCCTCCTGTAGAGAGGAGTGGACTAAACAGACGGCAAAATCAGTGAACAAAAGTATGACATCCATATCTATGTATAAATTCACGGATCACACAAGTAAAGTCCTTCTTCCCCTTCATCTGTTCACGGCCAGCATCCAGCTCCATCTATCCACCTCCTTTGATCCCCAGATTCATTCATTCCTCACCCTCATAACTCTCCCCTCAGCTCCTGTCTGCTCTGCCCCTCTCTCTGGCAACGCTCTGGGACAATTTGGAACTGCTCACAGCTCAGGAGATGCCATGGGAGTTGCTGGGGGTGAGGGCAGGCAATAAGGGTTTTGCACATTCCTGAACATACTTGAATATATTTGTACTTAAAAAAAAAAAATGTTAGTATCTGTATCGGTTTTAAATCCAGAAAGTATCTCTCCTTTCCCTACCTGGGTGGGGGGGATCAAGAGCATTATTGTTGCCTGTTTAATTGCTGATCCATGACACGGGTATCAAAGAACAGGCAGCATTTCAAGTATATGAACTACTAACATAACACAATTTTATGTGTAATACATTATTATGTTTCAGCAGCATAGGCCACATCCCTTAACAAAAAGGTTACTTTACTTTGTATGTTTCTTTGCACCTGTGGGGAGCAGTCCATAGCAAGAGCCTTAACCAGACAATAAGAGTTAGGTACACATACTTTTATCCAAGTTCAACCCTAACTCAGCAATAATATATTCATTGTTAGCCCACTACTTTTCAATCAGTCAGGCCTAACTGCAACAGGTGGATCAGCTGAAGAAACTATCTATGCTATTTCAGAGCAGTTAAGGACTTCCCAAATCCATTAAAATGCTGAAGATACTCAGTTGGCAAGTCCTGGACACTACTCTTCTTTTTCCTTATTCTGGTTTGATGAAGATTACTCTCCTCCACAAATGTATCACATCTGCGCAGCCCAACTTCAAGTCAGACTGTAAAGATATAGTGATCTAACTTTTTCAATTCGTAGATGCTTAAGAATGTTAAGATATGAAAGTGGAGGCCTTTATAGCAAATTTAGATTTCCTGACAACAGACACGGCCAGCAGAAGCTTAAAAACTGCTTCACAGGAGTTTTGTCCACTGTACTATTAAAAAATTATTTACTGGTAACATCCACCTATTAAAGCAAGTATTATGTACAATATAAGCATCAATCAGGCTAGTTACAATTAACTTTTGTTAGAATTCACAGCACATGCTAAAGTGTGATTCACCTGGGCAAAGGTAGGGAGGTCTGCATCTGACTCAGCATCCTCTGACCTTTACAGAGGAAAGAAATTAGCACTTTAATTCATCTAGTAGATTCATCTACTCCTAATGTGTCTGATGACATGACATTAGACAAACTCTGGTGGGAGTTTCAAAAGATCAGACTGCCACATAAACTTAAGTTTTGTGTGCTTTCCTCTAATCCGCATGATTAACAACATAGCTGGGCACAAAGTTGGAAGCACACGAAAATCAATATAAATAGGCCCAGCTTCTAAGAGAAATACAGCATGAAGGATAAATCTAGAAATTACCGCTACCCTCTTAATTATTTTTTTTTTAAGGCTTGTAGCAGTTTTTCTACAAACAGGAGGAAGCATTCACATTCTTCATTCCCATGATCAGGAATACTGTAAAACATCGACTGCTGAAATTATTTCAACTTTGAAATGCCACTTAAGGTTTAGGGGTTTTCTGATTCAAACCTATTAAAGAGGGCATAAAGACTACTCCTTCCCACCACTTGTTTTTGGCCAAATATATACATACTTCAAACAAACTCCCTGAAAGAGAGACCTGTTTTTACAGTGCTACTCTTGCAGTTCCAAAAACCGCACAAAAAGCATCTCCAGAAAATGTAGACGTTTCAGTGGACAATAATGAAGAGCTGAAGATGACATAAAATGTAACACTGAGTTCTTCACACTACTAAAGCAGCAGTGGAAATAATTCTGGAAACTGCTGAAGGCAATAAATTTTGCAGGCAGACAGATGTGTACTATATACACAGCTGTACTTGTAAAAATGAAAGAAAAACCATATTAGCTAAATACACAACTGTCTTTTCTAAGTACTAACTATTAAAAAACCCCACACCATTCCTTAGCTAGAAGGCTTGAGAAATAGGAATTTCAAGACAATAAGAACTGTACTCAGGAGACAATAAAGGACAATGCTTCTTTCTGTTGTTTTTCATCTCACAGAGTGGCTCAAACTAAGGAGAGGAATAAACCAAAAGCAACTATCAAAAGCAACTAGCAGTTACAGGCCCTCTCGTTTGTTTTTGCAAGTGAAGGCCAAGATCTTTAAGGTTCCTTCCAATCCAAACCATCCTATGATTATTCTTCAAGAGTTTGCTTCTTGTTTCTCTGTCACAACTGACGCCCATTCCTAGCTTCACTACAGCAGACAGAAGACAGGCTATTTCTGAGACAACCTCCTGCCAATAGCCACCCCTGTGTGTCACGCTGCTGCCTCACACCCAAGAGTAAGGAGGAAGCACCACCATTCCTTAAAACAGGTTGGACAAGAGTCACCCAGCAGGGTCTGACCTGGTTCCTACACCTGCCTTGGTCATGGAATCTTAGTGCCATCTCTCCCTTCCTGCCCTTCTCAGGTATTGCACCAAAAACGGGGAGAGGCAAGCGGGAAACATACGTGTCCTCCCTCGGCGACACACAATTGGTTGGTGCACAACGTCATTTTGGGGCTGCTGTTTTTGAACGAGGATCCATCCACCCGATTAGACCCAGAGCAGCCAACGTGCCAGACACCCAGCTTTGTGCCTCCTGCCAGCTCCGGCCACCCCTGTGGCACCGCCGGGGCACACCGAGGAGGAGGAGGAGGAGGAGGAGGAGGGTTCACCGCTGCCCACCGGGCTGCTGTCAGGTAAACGATCTTTTCTGGCTTTAATTCGGAGGGCGCTACTTCTGTGGTAAGTTCAAGCGTCTTGAGAGCAGACCGACTACCAAAACATCAAGGCTCAACTTATCTTAGGAAAAGCCAAGGGCGGCGGCGGCCCCGCAGCTGCTGCTCCCTGCGCAGCGGGTGGTTCCTTCCCGCACGCCGCGGGAAGCGGAGCCCCGCACAGCAGCACCCCGCACGTCCCCCTTCCTTCCCGGCTCCAGCAACTCGCAGCGGGGCCCGTTCTGTTCCCTCGCCGACAACGACAGACGTCCCGCCTCCTTCACCCGGAGACCGCGACCACTTGGGCCCCGCGCCC